AAGGTATGACAGAATTAAGGGTGGGGAGTCACTGAGCTTTTGAGTAGAGCAGGAAAGTAGTTTAGAACTATGATGGTGAGCTGCCTGACATAGATAGAAATCACATGTGTGTCCTCCCATAAAAAAAAAAACAACAGTCCGTGCCATGATCTTAATCATTGTCTTTTAAAGATGTATTTTAAATATCCTTTAACTCAATAATTTCACAAAATTGTATCTTGATCATACTCATTCCAACTCCTTCCCCCTAAGTACTCCTAGATCCAGTCTCACCTCTATACCCACAACTTATTATCATTCTTACTTAAAGGACCCATCAAGTCCAATAGTGTTGCCGATGCACTCCTGCATGTAGGACCAGCCACTGGAGTGTAGTCTATCTACCAGGGACCATACCCTTAAAGAAAGCTGACTCACCCTTCTCCAGAAACCATCAACCACCCATGGCACCTTAGTTAGGGGTAGTCTACCTACCAGGGACCATACCCTTAAAGAAAGCTGACTCATCCTTCTCCAGAAACCATCAACCACCCATAGCACCTTAGTTAGGGGTAGGGATTCATGAACCACTTCCCCCTCCATGCTAGAATGTTAACTCATTTGATCTTACTGATCTTAGGGGCAAATCTTTATGTCTGGATGTTTAATTTGGGGTGTCTGCAAAATCCAAAAAGCCAGAAAGGGATCATTGATGGGGTGGACAATGAAATGGACTTATTTTTTTAAGTGTGTGTGTGTGTGTGTGTGTGTGTGTGTGCGTGCATATGTATGTGTATACCTGTGAGGCCAGAGGCATCAGATCTCTCCCAAGTTGGAGTTACACATGATTGTGAGCTGTCTGACATAGACAGAAATCACATGTGTGTCATCCCTTAAAAAAAAAAACAGTCCATGCCATGATCTTAATCGCTGAAACATCTCTCCAGTCTTCAGAACTATATTTGAGAAAGTAAACTCTTACAGCAGGATGGGGGAATGACTGGACTGTGAGAGGGAGAGCAGAGGCAAGACCTCATGGTGAGGCAGTGTGGAGAAGGGGAGGAGTGAGGGACGTGAGTGCAGCAAAGGGCGGGTACAAACAGACACTGAACAAGTCTAAAAGCACAAAGCAAGAAGATGCTGATGAGAGGATGGAAGAGAATTCTCTTCAACACACTCAGCTAGAAGCCCAGTGAGGTGGCAGCTGGGAATTTCCATTTTCATCATTAACCTAGTTCCATGCTATTTAGCTTATTAAACTACATGAGTTTATTAAAAAAACTAATTAAAAGTTAGGGTTCAGAACAGGAGAAAAGGGGGGAAACTATTACCTTGAACAGGGCATAATAATAATATGGTGCCGGGTGTTGGTGGCGCATGCCTTTAATCCCAGCACTCGGGAGGCAGAGGCAGGCGGATCTCTGTGAGTTTGAGGCCGGGCTGGTCGGACAGCCTCCAAAACAATAGAGAGAACCCCTGTCTCATAAAACCAATAATAATAATAATAATATGGCATCGTGAATTTGAATGAAATATGGTGATACCGTAAGTCACTCATATCCATGTCAAAACTCAAGAAAAAGGTAAACACTGATCCAGACAGACAATGGAATCCTACTCAGAAAATAAGAGAGTTGAGCCACTCTGGGCACCAACGTAATTACCCCCCAAAAAAGAAAGTAAATGAAACAGAAACTCAATGACTGTATTTTTACAAAAGTCTGGAAAACAAAAAGGCACCTACAGCAACAGGAGAGGACATATGGTCTTAGACATGCGGGGAAGCCGCTGGGTAAGGTATAATGTGTTATGTTGATGGATGGATGTGCAGGTTTTCACATATGCCTCAAAAACTGGCTGGAAAATCTCAGGCAAGACTTAAAGGAGCTATTTGCTTTCTTCTCTAGTCAATCTTAGTTTGGGTAGAAGTTTCTCAGCTTTTTTCAGCTATTTTACAGTCACCCTTCTTCGTGTCCAAAAGCCCTAGTTATAAAAATAACAATACAAAAATAAATCCACTTTAAAAAATTAAAACTCAAAGTCATAAAATTGACAGCTTCTGGCCATCAATGTTGCTTCGATGAAATGGTAACTGCAGGCCAAAGCAAGGATACCTGGCATCACTGCTAAGGAAACACCCGGTTTCCATTATCTAAGTTCTGAAGCAGTCAGAGGTTCCCTTAGCCCAATTCCCCCAACAGTTTTGTCTCTGAAGCCTCCTTGAGGTTTAGACATAACAAGCCCCCTTTATCATAATAGGCCTAAGACAAATCTATTAAAAGAATGACCTGGGGCCAGAGAAACGGCCCAGCAAGCAAGTGCACTGGTGGCCTAGCCTGACACCTACGCTTGGTGCCCTGAACACACATGGTAGGAGGAGAGGATCAACAAGGTTCAAGTCTTCTGACATCCAACACTTGTACTATTGCAACTGTGAGCAAGCACACACATTATGTGCACACACATACAAACACACACACATGCACGTACACACGCACACACAGGCACATGCCAAATTATTGTTTAAAACCCTACCAGAATGTTATCCTAAAGCAATTTCATCTCAAAATTGATAAACTTACTGACAATCGCATGCAGGTCAGACTACGTGTTGATCACAAACATGCATGAAACAATAACTTGCAAAAAGACGAGTCAGACAGGAACTGGAATCTTGAAGCCCAGGATATGTAAGATGTCTTTCTAACGAAGTTTCATGGAGACCGCAGAGACAACAGGTGATTCTTATCTTTCTGATCTGATGAGAAAAGTTCAGGTTCATATTCCTAAGCCTTTCATCAGAATGGTTCTTCCCAAAGCTGCATGATCCAGTTTGCACTGTAACTGTTACTTAAGGCAGAGGCAGGCGGATCTCTGTGAGTTTGAGGCCAGCTTGATCTACACAGAAAAACCCTGTCTCGAAAAATCAAAAAAAAAATCTGAATTTTGGTAGGACTCAAGATACAGACCAGCGGAATATTTTGCAATAGGGGTGTACCATCAGGACAAGGACACTAGAATATTGGGAATATACTGATGAATGAATGACTAATAAAGACATAGACACATGTATTCTAGATAGTGAAACACTTAGTTTTCCTACTACTATGTTCTCAGGTTCCTCAGTTCTAGAAAATCACACTGGATACTTGGTGCCCTGTCAGGAGTGACTCTGGATATCTAGAGACAGCATTCCTGTGCCCATAGGAACATTACACATTATTTCTAGGCTAACAGTTGTGACTAAGAGAAACCAAGCATGGGAATATCAGTCTGAGGCTTCCCATAGCACATCTCCTCCTGGGAAACTATTGAAATCACTGTGTCCTGGTTAGTTTAACTGCCTACTTGGTACAACCTCGAATTATGTAGAAAGGCAATCTCAATTGAGGAGCTGCCTGGGTCAGATGGACCTATGGGCATGTCTGTAGGGGATTGTCTTGACTGTGAATTGAAGTAGGTCTCAATCCACTGTGGTTGTGAAAATACATAAGAAAGATAGTTGAGCATAAGCTTGACTGCCTGCCAGGCAGCACTGTCCTCCATGCTTTCTGTCTTGCAGCTTTGGCTGTGAAGTGAGTTCTTTGGTTTGGAGGTGTTGTAGAATAGCAAGCAGGCCTGTCTGTCTTCAAGGTCCTGACTTGACTTCCCTTACTAATGGATGGTGACCTGGAATTGTAAGCCAAGTAAACCCTTTCTCCTCTAAGTTGGCCATAATTTCTTATTAAAGCAACAGACATGAAACCAGAACAAACCACAGATTTTTAAATCACTTTTAAGATGACAACAATAACTTACAAAAAGCTGATATTTGTTCAAAAATTTTAAGAATACAATCTATCCCTATTAAGCTTCTAGAATGGGCTTAAGCAGGTTTTCCCTCACCTTTAAATTAAGCAGGGTTCCCTGCACTATTAATGATAAAAAAAAGTGTTACATACTCTAACTGCTTGTTTTAACTACACATAAAATGTTATCGGAAACTATGATGGCCACTGGGTACCCAGGGGCCTGAACCCCTCCACTGCTAGTCATGCCACTGGCTTTTCCAAGGACTCCTTAATCCACAGCAACAGGAGTTACCCCTGACTTTTCCAAATCCTTAATCCATGGCAACAGGTACAGATTACTTTTTAAAAAAATGAAATACTCTGAATCAAAACAACTCATTCATGGTATTACCAAGAATTCTGACTTGAAATAGAAAGGCCTGGGGTTGAATAGAAAATTACAGCGTGAATATCCTGAAGTCAGAGAGGCTGTCTTGGTAGTGAGGCACTGAGGAGACTCTCTCTGCAATCTATTCATTTCCGTAAGAGGAAAGCATCTCCATAATTTAAAATAGTTGCCTTATATAAAGTGTGCACGGTGTCTCCTCCCCTGCAAATACTCAGGAGTCTGCCAGTGGAGAGAGACCTCAGAGGTTAGGTTCATTTGCGGCTCCTCGAGAGAACTGGAGTTCAGTTCCAAGCACCCACACAGTGGCTCACAACTGCTGGAAACTCTAGTTCCAGGGACCCAGCGCCCTCTTCTGGGCTCCAGGGGCACTGCACTCATGCGCACATACACACAGAAACACACAATAAAGAATAATAAAAACAAATCTTTTTTTAAAAATGCTCTGGAGTCTAAGTCACAAATGGGGTAAGAAGGCAGTGCTACAGGATAGGAGCAGTACAGAGACATCCTTCATAGCGCACAAACCACGAGGAGGCGGGACCCTCTTATCCGGAAACCGCAGCAAGCAGGCCAGCGCCCGCTCCCCGCCCGTGCTCCAGGGGCAGGGGCCCCGCAATCCCCGGGCGCCTTACGTGTCGCTGCCGGCTGAGGAGCAGGAATCCAAGCCGCTGGCCCCGGCGTCCGAGTCGCCGTCCTCCTCTTCCTCCTGTGAGGACAGGTCTCCGGGGAGCTCGGCCGGGCGCCCACGCGAGTCTCGCCACGCGGGGTCCGACATCGTCAGGGTCGCGAGAGCTCCGGGTGGAGGCACTCAGACCCCAGAGGCAGCCATCCGCACCTCCAACCGCGCCGCCATTTTGCCAAGCGGCACCGCGTGACCCCGAGGCTCAGCTGCGATTGGCCGAAGCGCTGGTTGCCCGGGAGATAGAGAAGCTTCCCGGTGAAGATGCGGAGCATTGAAGAGAGTCCAAGTGCTCTTTCCACAGGCAGTGCAAACTTCGCTGCTCCAAGCAGTGAGTAAGGCAGACATCCTTTTCTCCCTTTTCTTTTTCTCTTTCCAGGCTGAGTATCTTTCAGTTTGTACTTTATCCTGTTTTGTTTTTTCTATTTTTTTCTCTGGGTTCCATTTGGCCAGGTTTTTTATTGTTGTCTTGACAGAGCCTTAGAGATAAAGAGCCTTTGCATTCATGCACCCCTAGGTGCTAATGCAAGTATCTCAGTCCTTTTTTAAAAATATTTTTATCTGTAATTTGTGGATGCTTACACCAAGTACTTTTAAGGTACATAAAAGCCATCACTGAGCCATACATCGCCCACTCAATTACATCCATTCTCAATTCATACACCATGCTAAGTATTTGCATACAATGAAGTGAATAGTCCTCTATAATTAAGTAAAACACTGAGATTTAGTGAGAGAAGAATGGTTATGCAGCCAGCAGGCAACAAGGTCAACCAAAAAAAAAAAAAAAAGAACTTTAGTCATTACAGTACACTGCACTTTCTCCTCAGGAGTCGCTTCTCCACTTATCGGTGGTTTCATTTTCCAAGATCGGCCAAGGTGAGAAAGTACTACGTGATAAGCTCTAGAAGTGAACGCTATGTTCTGGATTGTGCATCACTCTGGGTCATGGTGCGATCTCACAGCTTTCTCCACTCGCTTGGTAGTAGACAATCTTTTTGTTCGGTGTATGCACATTGAATACGCAGTTTATCAGTTAGTTCCTTCGAGTAGCTGACTGGTTAGAAGGCCAGCCATCAAGGTGTCCGCATCACGGTAATGTATTCAAGTAGGCTGACCGACCCTAGATCACAACGCCTGAATCATTCACCTAACATCACTCTGCTCTTAGAGAAGAGAATACTGGTTTCCTCCACCTAGCATCATGCCACAATCAGCAAAGAAGGTGCCTATGACCCCAAGAGGTATGGGGACTTCTTCCCACAGCAATCAAGCAGTGGACATCAGCAGTGTCTGTCCAATCCAGTCACTTTGACACTGGCTGGAGATGCTCAAAGCCCACATGTTGAAGGATCGTCCCTCAAGACTGCCACCCCGCCACACCCTTTAAGATGGTAGTTACAAGCCCCAGCTTCCTTTTACCTGTCCTCTGCCTACAGCATGAGGGTCCCCTAACACTCTCCTTGGATTTGACTGGTCTACTTGAGTGGCTCACAGACAGATTCAGGGAAATTTTTATGGTTATCCTTTTATTATGCATCATTACAAAGAATGCAGATGGAAAGATACACAGGTATGGGAGAAGGAGTGGAGTGCAGAATTCCAGTGACTTCATTCACGGTTCACTCTCCGAGAGCTTCCATATGCTCATCAATCTGGAGATTCTCTGAACCTTGTCTTTCTAGTTCTTATAGAAATGTAATCATGGAGGCCAGGTTGCTAACAGGCTGAACAAAAGACTCAGTGATGCTTGGGTGTATCTGTTCTTTTGCATTTCTTTCTCCTAGAATGGGGCAGGATACCTCTGGACAGGGGTAGGTCACTTTAATAAAAAGACTCTATAATAGTTATATTCCTGATGAAACATGTATACTTTTCCACCACTATAATCTCAAACAATAAATTTTACCTAAGATTTCATTCCAAAATAAAAAGTACTTTAGGCATTTAATTAGCTATTTCTTTGCTTGTTTGTTTGTTTGAGACAGAGGCTCTCTGTGCAACTGTGTGGCTGGTCTGGAACACACTATGTAGATCAGGCTGGTCTTATACTCACAGAGATTAGCCTGTTTCTGTCTTCCAAATTCTGTGCCTGGTTGCATTTCTTCATTTTTAAAGCAACCTATTAGAAGTTTTAAAAAATGTAAAAGACATTTCAAAATACTTTATTTTATGTTATGTTTTGCCTGCATAAATATCTGTTTACTATGTGCATGCCTGGTGTCCTCAGAAGTCAGAAAAAGGTCACAGATCCCTGGAACTTGAGTTTCAGACAGTTGCAAGCTGCCATGTAGGTGCTGAGAATCTAACCCAGATAGATTCTCTAGAAGATCAGCAAGTGCTGTCAACCACCATCTCTCCATCCCTATAAGAGACATTTTCATTGGCAAAATATACAGTTTTCTCCCTCTCCCAAGTAAAGGTCTTTAATTTCTATGAGTGTCTATTAATCTTGCATTGTGCTCATAAACCTCCAGTGTTACTTCGCTAGAGAATAGAGTCCAAGTTCTGTACAGTCTTTAAAGTGCTTTTCCCAGTTCGGGCTGGTGATGGCGCTCACTTGCCGGAGGGCGTATGTAGCAGGCAGGAAGCCCTGAGTCAATCCCAGCATTATGTAAACCAGCCCGGGTGGTGCACATCTGTAATCCAATCACTAGGGAGATGAAGGCAGGAGATGCAGAAGTTCAAGGTCACCCTTGACCTCACAGAGAAGATGATGCCAGTCTGGGATCCATGAAACCCCATCTCAAAAACATTTTTTTCTAAATCAAATAACTGAGTATCAACTAGGAGTTAGATCTTTAATTTCTATTCTATATTAACCAAATTAAGGAAGTGTGTCCAGTATGTTTGATCAAAAGGAATCACTCACAGCTTACTAAATGCACAGTTTTTGAGACTTCACCCCACATCGATGGGATCAGAATCTGCAGAGGAGAAGTCTAGAAATCTCTGCTGTTGTTAAGATTTATTTTTTTCTTCCTTGTGTATATGGATGTGTTGCTTGCATGTATGTATGTGCACCATGTGTATGCCTAGTACCTGAGGAGGTCAGAAGAGGGCGTCAGATCCCCTGTAACTGAAGTTGCTGATGGTTCAAGGCCACCACGTGGGTGCTGGGAATCAAACTGGATCTCCTGCAAAAACAAGTATTCTAAACCATGAGCAGCTCCAGCTCCCAAATCTCTGTTTTAGATGAGGCCCCGAATGGTTCTGAAGTCTTGGGAAATGATGCCCTAAGCTTTGCCCCAGCCCTGTATTTCTCTGGGAGAGCATGGCTGGCACTTTTGAATACTCTGCCACCACTCCCGCTTGGTGAATTTGAGCCTGGCTTACGGGCTCTGAATCTCTCCACAGAACCATATCTATACAACCGCAGCACATCAGTCTCTTCAAGCTTCACTTTCCTATTCTCTAAACTCACACAGTGGTACCCACTGCACAGGACTGTTTGCAGTATGGAGAACCGACACGTGTGAAATACCTAGTACAAGCAGTGTCAGTAGACCGAGCCACTCTGTAGACTTATGAAGTTCTCTTGATGCTTCTACATAATGCATTTGTTCAAATACAGTACAACTTTTCCCTTTAAGACACAATAACTCTCTTTTAAAAGCCTTCCAGACACAGCCACTTGTGTAAGAAGTCCTTCTATCTTCTCTCAGTCAAACATGCCGGGTGTATACATATGTATGTATGTGTAGGTATATGTATATGCATATGCATAACTGCCACCAAATGACAGTCTCCCGGAGACACGATGAGATGACTGGCTGTTTCTTCTTTAAACTTCCCTCCTGTCCCAAACTTGAATCGCAGAAAACAAAAAATAAATAAAAAAGAAGAAAGAAAAAAGATCCCTATAAAATTATATTGTCTAAGAAAGATTCCTTGTACTAGATACTGCATATTTCAACTTTCTGGGCTAAAGTTCTATCTATTAGTTTAATAAGAGAGAGGGAGAGAGAGAGAGAGAGAGAGAGAGAGAGAGAGAGAGAGAGAGAGAGAGAGAGAGAGAGAGAGAGAAACTACCTTGCTTGATCTTCCATATAGACCCATATACAATATAACAAAATTATTTTTATTCCTAATTTAATTTGGGGGATGTGGTACTAGAAAATTGTATTTCTAACTTTATTAAATCGTAATATCGTTATATGTGTCGGGAAAGGATGGAGAAAGAAAAAGAAAATGCCACCATGGCCTTGTAAAAATACTCTGTTAGTCCAAGGGTTTAATAATTAGAAATCACAAGAAAACTTTAAAGATTTAGACTGGGGTATATTCTCATTTTTTACTTTTGATTACATAAAAACTGAAGCTCAAGAATGTTTGCTTTAATGTGTAGGAGACAGAAGGTCCCAATTTCCATAGATTACCATCTCAATTAGGCAAACAATACAATTCAGACATAAAATACGCCAGATAAGATCATAATTAAATATTTACTAGAGTTAGCAGGCTCAAAGACTCTTTATTTGGTAGCAGGAGAGTCTAGCAATGAAGTACAAATGAAAACGGGGCCAGGGGAGATGATGTTCATTTAAACCATGGGGCAAAACTTTATGTAATGGAGCTTTGTCAGAAACTAATCAATATTGCCCTAAGTGAGAACACACGAATAATACTTTATGAAATAAGCAATAATAGTTTTAAGAAACTATTTATTTATGTATTTAAATTAGAAACAAGCTTGCTTCACATGTCAATACCAGCTCCCTCTCCCTCCCCCCTCCCCCACCTCCCCGCCAAAATCCCCAACCCCCCATCCAAAAGCAACTATTTTAAAGTAATTATTTTTAAAAATTATGGTAGACCAATAAGTATCATTTTAAAATACTGTGACTTTCTAATGTGGAATTTTTCAAAATTGAAGATAGAACCACAATATATAAAAGCCACTCTGCAATTACGGTCTGAAATCTCAGTTTTTTCGTATGAAAATGGAATCCTATGTACAGGACTTAATTGTTATCTTTTTTTTTTTTTTTTGATTTTACAAGACAGGGTTTCTCTGTATTGTTTCGGAGGCTATCGGTCCAGCCCGGCCTTGAACTCACAGAGATCCGCCTGCCTCTGTCTCCCGAGTGCTGGGATTAAAGGCGTGGGCCACCACCGCCCGGCCTATAAGATCATTTAGATGAGAATAATACATAGAGGAGGCTCCAGGAGCAGGCCCAGGCTGGGATAACTCAGTGGTAAAGTGCTTCTTTAACATGCATAAGACTGTAGGTTCAATTCTCACTTCTGCAGAAGCCAAACAGTGGGATTATATTATTTCCCATTCAGCCACCCCATAACTGCAGCAGATGACACAGCACTCAGCCCCCAAGCCCAGCTCATCCCTTCTTGCTTGTCTTCATTCTCTATCTCCACTTGCAAACTCTAAGGCTTCTGTTGAACTGTTCTGCCACCAGAGACCAGAATCTGCCGACCAGAAGGAAAGAGGTCCCTTTGCCCAGCCTGGGACATTACTGATGGCCCATGATCTACTGAAGAGGAAAGGAAGAAACAAAGAGCCGACATGAGAGTTAGGAGAAAAAAACCACGTATGAGTGCTGAAAGCCATGCTACTGCCATTTTAAAAACCCGTGGTGTTGTGACCCCTGCAGCCCGGCAGTGATGGGCAATGCTGGATAATGCAGCGGTGCCATGCTTTCCCTTTTCTGTCTCCTTTGAGTCTAGAACTAAGGACAAACTGAATGTGGACAAAGATTTCTCATGTGAAGACAGCACCAATAATTTACCCACTGCATGGTGTTGTTAAAATTCAAATGTGATAACCCTTAAAACTAATGCCTCATTGTTTAAAAAAATAAATAAGTAACACTGTATATATTTTACACTGCATTTTCCTATGCTTTTGGTTTTATTATTACTTATTTTAGTTTTTACTTTCAAGTTTAAAAAGATACCTTATACTGTCTTGGTAACAGGACTCTGTAGTAAACAGGGCATACATTTACCTCAGAAAGGTCTAGAGCCTTGATACATTTTGAATACACATGTTTTTGCTGTTGGAAAAAGTATGAACTTCAGATCATCTAGTATTTTCACCTATTTGCTGGCTTAGGAGCCCACAGACCATTGCTCTAGTCCAGTGTCACCATTGGCCACTAGGTCTCAGACAAACTGACTTTGCCGACTGTCTGGGAGTGTCTAAGAATAGCCTTTCACCTGTGCTTTGCATTAGAGCCCAGGCGACAGTTACTAACACCATCTCTTCTGTTTGATGTGACTTCATGTTCACCGAGTGATGCCCGGTGGTCAGAAGTTAGTTCACAGTATTGCCCTATGATGTGGGTGTCACTCACTTTTCAGAATGGGTTACTATCTCACCAAGTTACGGGACTGCAACAGAAATGCCACTCTGAGAGGATTAAATTTACTAGCTGTGTGCATAAATTGTTTTAAAATGTTTGGAGAGCACTAATGCGCACTATATGAGTACTTCAACTCATCAAGATGACCCCCAAACATTAACTTGCTTAAGTAAAAATAACTGAGAAATGAAATTTGGGAGCTTTTCTCCTGGCTCAGACAATCTGACATTTGTCCCCAAAGCAGAGTAGCTGAATTCTCCTCTCACTGGTCATTTTACTACGGTCGTTTTACTACTGGCACGTGTGTTTCTAGTATCTTTCTCAACAGTTAAGCAATTCAGCGCTGCAGGTTTTGGAAATCATATTTGCAATGGAAAAGACACAAGTAATTAACAAACCAACAACTGGAAGACCTAGCTTTTAAATTTAAACATCTATAGAAATAGTCTAGTATGTTCTTCAATCTGAGTTTCCTATGGCCCTGGTCTCTTTAAAGCATTTGCCAATATTTTGTGGGTGAGTTACAAGGTATTTATTTCCTTTGACAGTTTCGTCTGCATATCATGAATTTTAGGCTGCTTCATCCCTCCCTGCTAAAACCAACCATTCTCTAGCTCTCAGCCTCCTAGTGTTTGAGTGTGTGCAACCCACTGGGTTTAAATAGGATTGCCCACATAAGCAAGAGATGGTTCTAAAAGGGAAGTATAAAAATGTTGCCAAAACCACTTTAAAACACAGATTGTGCACCGGCCTGCTTCATGAGAATGACAACAAATGGATGAATATGATTTAAAGGGTGTTTCTAGTATAGCCATACAAGCCTTAATATATATATGTAAGCAAAGGCATTTGAACAGTATGAATGTGTCTGCAAATACATCTTCACCAAGTGAGAGAAACTTTGATATGTCACAAACTTTTAAACAGGTGTTTTGAAAACACAAAATAACAGAACACACAAAAATCAATGCAAAGATGAAAAGGCTTTTTGTACTCTGTTAAAAATAAATCGCTGTGAGCCATGGTTCCTCTAGCTGCTCTCACAGATGGGAGCAGTTATTTGTAATTCAGATGTAGCGGCTTTTCACTGTAATGCTGAGCAGGTGTATTCCGGAACTACTCATTCTGAGATGACCACCTCAGGCAGAAGAAGCCAGGAGTTTAAACATTCTCTTTCACCCTGCTTCATTCAGGCGGGCTCATGCTTTGGATTTGAGGCCCTGGAGTGTAAATCAGTTTTTTTTTTCTTCTGCTTGACATTTCAAACAAGAGAAATATGAAGACATTCTGTTGCAATGGTGTCTTGGGTGTTTAAAAACACATTTCCCTCCCAGCTAGCCCAAAATCATGCTGTGAGTGAATTTACAGTGAGCACTCCTCGGGGTCATCCGGAATTTTAATTTTATCAAACGCAAGGGGGAATCATCCTCAGGAATTCAGCTCCTTTTTGACAGTATTTCATTTAACACAGCGAGTGGAGAGTGGGGTGCAGAAAACTTCAAGTTTTGGAAGACAGCTCTCGAGTCGAAGAAATCTAATTTTAAAACCCCTGGGCTAATGCTGCCCCCTCCCTCACACTTTGTACAGCTCATGTGGTTTTGTACAAAGACTTAAAAGGGTCGTTTGAAACGTTTACAGATAAGCAAACTCACGAAAACCTTCCTGGCGGATATTTACTAAGCTGGCTTACTCGTCCTCACCACAACGTAGTCAAGAGAAAGTTCATTTACTTCTAAGTGAGTCCCCCCTCCCATCGTATCTCAATAAGGCCAGGCCCTCCGAGTTAGCAACGTTAACTGCCTTGCACTTCATCTACAAGTCAAGTTTGCTCTCCGTGGATTCCTTTCTCACCAATAAACTCAACGCCTTCAGCGTGGGTTTTTAACCTTTGTTAGGCGGTTTCGCATAAAAGACAGGGATGGATAAACTGATGGGAAGTTGAGGTTCTCTTCCTTAGGAGAACGCCTATGTTGTGTAGTTAAGGTTTCGCGGCGCGTAGGAGGGTTAAAACAGAAATTCTTTCTAATCCCACTCAAAGTTCTCAGCTCTCCCCCTCCCCCAGCACCCCCATCCCCGGCCCCGCGCAGAAAGCGCAGAGCGCCTTGAGAGACAGCTTTGCTTCACACGGTCCTTTCCCTTCTTCAAAGAGTGGAGGAGCCTCAGGGAGCCGACTGGCGCGGGGCTGGAGTCTCAGCGACCCTGGGCACCTCCGTACCGACTCCGGGAGGGGAGCCCTGCACCTAACCGAATCCCGTTTCTGCGCCCAGCCGGGCTGCATCCCCGGAGCCCTCACTGACCTGTGTAGCAGGACGCGCTGCACCGAGTCCAGGTCCTCCAGGTTGCGGGACGCAGGCTTGGGGATGCTGGTCTTCCCCCCGTGAAACATGCCCGTGGGGTAGCCGCCGCGAGGGCGAGTGTCAGCGGGTCCCCAGCTCGACTGCGGCCCGGGATGAAGATCACGAATGCCCAGGTGGCACCGTGGGCCCGTGCGTCCGGGGGTCGCCTGCGGGAGCAATCGCGAGGTTTCTGCAGGTGGGCGCTCTGGTGGCGCCGAAGTGCCTCGCAGCCCCTCTCTGTGCCCGGGGTCCCCGCCACCGCTCCAGGCACCGCGCTCTAGGGGCGCTCTCTTGCCGCCCAGTGCGCGCTCCGTGCCTCACCCTGAGTTCGCCGACCTCAGGTGGCCCCAGCCTAGGACACCAGTGTCCAGGCACCGCCCCAGGGCAGGAGGCTGCCACCTGAGGCCACCAACGAGCCAGGCGAGCAGGAGGCGCTTGCGAGACAGATGAGCAGGCCCGGTGGCTGCGCTGCAGACTGAGACAGAGTTGGGAAGGGGAGCCAGAAGCCACTGTGGGTGGGACTTTAAACCCTTTAACCATATGCAAGCTGGGCTGGTGGCTCTTCTTTCTTCACTGCACTCGGGAGGCTGAGGCAGGAGGATAGTTACCAGTTGCCAGGTAGCTCTATGTAAGGAGTGCCAGGCCAGTCAGGGCTGCATTAACAAGAAACGTTATATGTGAGTGAATACAGTATGAAGGGTGGTTGAGTCTTTTATCCTCCTTGGGAGTTCACTGGGGGTGGGAGGGGGATGAATCCAGAGTGACTTCAGGTTCTGTTCTGAATCCGAGTCAGAATCAGACAGGATGGTAGAGAGAATGAATGGAGAAGTTGGAAGGTGTTTGCAAATGTGTCGTATCACTGATGACATAGACACAGACAATTGTAATTGATAATAGATTAATTTTACATGCCCGATTAGATGGGGCTTCACTTGCCCTGTAACCAAGTCATTTCGTGCAGGCTTTTTCCCCCTGGATGAGTTTCTCTGGTTCGGGCTGTTAAGTGGGTCTTCGAAGAGGGTGAGAGGTTTTACCGTAATGCATAGAAACCTCTACTCAACTCTCCTGCCTGCAATGTTTCCTTGGCCTGTACTACACACTCGTCTGGTGTACTTCATCAAGTATCAAAAAACCGAAGTGTTTGTCTTTTCATCTAAGGAAGGAAACAAAGAATGTGATGCTTATCAAAGTATGATTTATCATAATAAAAATTTAAGAGATAAATATCAATAATTAATGTTTTAGTGTTCATTCATGCAATGATGTGATCTGAATTCATAGAATACAATTATGTGAAGTTTTAAATAGAATGTTGATGGCAATAAAATACTTATGATTCAAATTTATGTAAATATTCAAAATGCAATTTTTTAAAAGGAGGTTTTTTAAAAGATTTATTTATTTATTATGTATATGGTATTCTGCCTGCAAGCATGCCTGCATGCCAGAAGAGGGTGCCAGATCTCATTACAGATGGTTGTGAGTCACCATGTGGTTGCTGGGAATTGAACTCAGAACTTCTGGAAGAGCAGTCAGTGCTCTTAACCTCTGAGCCATCTCTCCAGCCCCAAATGCAAATTTTTGTTCAGTTTGTATTAGTTTTTTGTCTCCTTGCTATGACACAATACCTGACAAAATAGATTTAAAGAAGAAAGGGTTTATTCTGGCTCATGGTTGGAGGCTATAATCCTTTCTGGGGAGGAAGGCATGGCATTGGGAGCATAAGGTGGCTGGTCACGTTGCATTCCCAGTCAGGAAGCAGAGAGTCATGGATACTAGCGCTCACCTCGCTTTGTCCTTTTTATTAGTCTCGGTATCCCAGGACAGTCTTCCCTTCATAAATTTCCAGGAAACATTCCTCACACATACCCAGAGTCATGTTTTCATGGTGATTCTAAATGCAGTCAAGTTATTTTTTGGTAGCCATGGTCTTCTTGGTGGTCTTCTGGTGCTGTTATAAATTGGTTCGTGTCACCCCAAGCATAGTGGAGTTCCTAACCCCTATTACTCAAATGGGTCCTAATTTGTAAATAGTCTTTGACATATACCAAGGATAAGATTACACTGAATTAGAGTGTTCAGTCTGGGGAGGCTTTATAGGAAGAGAGAAAAGGAGCTGGGTGGCTCATCAGTTAGGAATTCTTGCTTTTCTTGTAGAGGACCTGGGTTAGGTTCCCAGCACCCACATGGTGATTAACAACCATCTGTACCTCCAGTTCTAGGGGATCCTGTAGCCTCTTCTGACCTCTGCTGGCACTAGGCACACACTAGGGACACAGACATGCAAGCAAGGAAAACATTTGTGCATAATACATATACAGGAAAATGATACATATAAATAAAATATAAATCAATATAAAAGAACAGGAAAAAGAAACACATGGAGAGAACATGACAATACAGAGAGAGAGAGAGAGAGAGAGAGAGAGAGAGAGAGAGAGAGAGAGAGAGAGAGACATGGACAGCAGATATGGAGTGATGAATCTGTACATGTGGTAACCAGCCTTCCGCCACTACCATGAAATACCTGTGAAAACAGACGGCCCCATCTGATGAGCAGGTATGCACACTGCCTTTAGGAATGACTGATGATGAGAGTAACAGCAGACTCTTGGAGAAGCAAATTCCTCACCTCATCACCAGAAAGCAGAGGAGGAAGAGGAAGAGACCAAGGTTCCAAGGTCCCTTGAAAAGGCTCACCTCTTTTGACTTAGAGTCTCATGTGTTCAAGGTTCCTCAGTAACAGCACCCTGGGGCCAAGCCTGGAACAGGAGTCTCTGGGTCAGTCAGTGACTGCACTGAAGCAGCCAGCAGCACCAGACATTGCTGGCAGCACGGAAAGCTAGGTGCGGAGCCAAGTATCCTCTAGAGATCCCAGGGGTCACGGTCCTTCTTAACAGCTTCATTTGAGGCTTCTGGTCTCCTGAAGGATGGAGAGATAGATTTCTGCTGTTTTCAGCGCCTCGTGTGCAGCTATTTGGTATAGGTCCAGGGAGTTAGTACAGTCAGCTTCTTCCATGTGTGAAATGGGGAACGAGATCATCTGTTGGATGTGACAGGGGGCCAAGGCAGACATCTAAGGAAAGCACACACCAGGTGAACGGCTTGGCCCAGAGGAAGAGAAGATTGACTGGAGTGACAAGCGTAAAGAGCTTCCCAGGCTTTCAAGAGTTGTGCTAAGCAGGATTTCTAAATACCCTCCCAAAGATAACACACCGAAGCCGGGTGATGGTGGCGCATGCCTTTAATCCCAGCACTCGGGAGGCAGAGGCAGGCGGATCTCTGTGAGTTCGAGGCTGGGCTGGACCGACAGCCTTGAAAACAGTACAGAGAAACCCTGTCTCGTAAAGACAAAAAAAAAAAAAAAGATATCACATCGAAATCCACGGAGCCTGAAAGCATGCCACCTTAGCACGCTAGTTCCATGGTACAGTAGCCGACGAGATGTGGAGACTATTCTATGAGAAAGACATAGTTGCAGGAGTCCTGGAAAGCAGAGAGTGTCTAATCGATGGCCAGAGAGAGCTGAGGGTCTGGGAGAGAGGTCTACACTGGTATAATGCTTGCCTTGCCAGCATGAGGACAGGAAGCTGATGCTCAGAAACATGTCAAAACAGCTAGGCAGCCCTGCCTGTAATTCTAGCACTGTGTGTGTGTGTGTGTGTGTGTGTGTGTGTGTGTGTGTGTGTGTGCAGAGAGATAAGTGGATCCCTGGTGTTTGCTGGTTAACCAACCCAGGTGGAGAGATCCTCCTGAGTAGAATTTCATGAAGCAGTGGTAGCCTGGGGGGCAGAGGGGGACATGGAGGGTATGTGAGCAGCTTTAGCAGCAGAGATTGAAAGCTGGCTCACTGCCAGCCTGGGATGGAGACATAGGTTTCACAACCACAGAACAACTTCATTCTGCCAACGACCTGCACAGGATTGGAGGAGGACTGTTCCTCTACCCACCCTGGCCCTTAAATACTCTAACCCCAGGGAAAGCTTGACTTTGCTCTGTGAGACCCTAAGCAGAACCCCTGATTTCACTAGACTTCTGAACTAGTTGTTCAGTGGGCAAAGTTTGTGCCATTTTTGTGTACTAAGAGGAAATGGAGTGTTTTCAGGGGTGCAGATGGTAAGAGCAGACCCCACCCAGTTGGGCTTGTGGGCAGGAATGGCTTTATCTGTGCTGGGCAAGCTGCAGTGCAGGCATGAATTTCTCCAAACAACACTTGCCTGGGCTCCTTGCTTTTACATGTTTTCTCTGGTTCTTTTTCCTAAGCCATAAGGTTTGGGATTCTCCTTCCTTCAAAGGTCGGAAAGACTCTCATGTAGAACAGATTCCCATCTTCTGAGGTTACATTCGGGACTGATAGTCTTTCTACGACTGCACATTTACAATTACCAAGCAAAGGTGGTCAGGCCCCTTGAGAAGCAGCCTCTGAGATGGAGATTTCCACATAAGAAGTTTATTGGGAGGTGTAGGGGATGAAGGAATCACCCGGACCGGAGGAACACTTCAACTACAACACAGTCTCAACACATATTCAGCCAATTCTGTGTCCTTATCAGGAATGGTCTTGCAGAGTTGTCCTGAACCAAAGTAAGCAGGACAGGTCTTTGCATCCAGAAAAGACATTGGCTTAGGTGATTCTCTCCAATGAAGGCTGCTATAGGGATTCAGCAGAGAATTGCAGCTGCCAGTCCTCAGCGAGATAAGGAATGGATGATTCCTGAATCAAAGAGCAAACAGGAACAAGGAGGAATTAAAGACAGGCTCCACAGCATCTTACTGAACATGAAAGAAGCTCATAAACCTATATGTGGTGGTGCATGCCTGTAATCCAGCACTCAGGGATGGAGGCAGGAGGATTATTTGACGGCAGGCTGGGGTGCAGAGAGACAATTCATCTTAAACACTAGAAGGGGAAGTAGAGGAAAGAGAGAAGGGGGAGAGAAGTAAGAGGAGGTGGTGGAGGAGGGAGCTGGGCAGTGGTTACTAGTCTGACATAGACTTCTCTACCAGAGGAGTTTGCCAATAGGGGTCCAATATTGAATCAAAGCAACAACAACAGGTGCAGTCTGAGTGCTTTGAGCCTTCCAAAGCCCTTCTCCAGCTCTGCTGGCTGCTTCTGAAGTCCAAGCTGCCCCTGGCCCCATTACTGCAGAGACCGCCTGTGTGTTCTGTGCCTTAGGAAGAACATGTACCGTTGGTGTTGTTCTTATGTTTAAGTTTGAAAGTGCGAGAGATGGAACACGAACCATAGAGAGTACATTAACTATAGAGTTTATTACAGGGGAGAGCGAGAGGGGGAGAAGAGAGAGAGATGAAGAGGGTAAGAGGGAGGGGGTATGAGAAGAGCAAGAGGAGAGAGCAAAGAGGAAGGGAGAGAGAGAGACAGAGACAGAGGGAGGGAGGGAGGAAGGGAGGGAGGGAGGGAGGGAGGGAGGGAGGGAAGGAGGGAGGGAGGGAGGGAACTTTGCTTTTAAGAAGAATCTCACGCATGTGTACTGAGTCCTTACACAGCCCTGTAACCAGTGACATAGCCATGACATGACCATGCCACTGTGTGTGCCCTGTCCATCGTCAGGGGGGTGGGGTCAGCATGGTGTTGACACAGTCTTGGTGGTGCAACACTTGCCTAGCACATACAGTAGAGCCCTGGGTTCTATCCCCAGCACAGTAAAGGAAAGTGAAGGGACGGAGTGGTCCTGATGGCTGACTTCTCTCTACATGCTGGATGCATTTGTGCCCTTCTGTTACAAGGACAACATATACATAGCAAGTCTAGATCTTAAAGAAGTGACCAGGCAAGGTGGCACACACTTCTAATGCCAGCACTAAGGATGCAGAGACAGGCGGGTCTCTATGAGTTCCAGGCCAGCCTGGTCTACATGGTGAGTTCTGGGACAGCCAAGGCTACATTGAAAGACCCTGTCTCAAAACAAAAGAAAACAAACAAAACACAGAGGTACTTTGATTTAATCTTTAGAACTTTACCTCCAAAGGTCAACTTTCTTCCATTTTTATCATCTACAAAGCACACTTCTCTGTTTCCTTTTACATTATACCATGATAAGGGCCTTTTAGTCTAAAGATGAGTAGATGGTGCAGTCAATTTTCCTGAGAGCTTTGGTTCTTGCCTATGAGCCTGAGGTCCCCTGAGTACAGTGTGGAACAGACCCCAGAGTGGTGGGCACTTGGCAGAAGAGTCAAGGCAGGAAGTGTGGAGGAAACTGAAAAGGAATAAGGAAGACAGGGCTTTTGGACACACAGCATCTGTGTCATGTGAACGGCAGAGGAATATTTATATATCACGAATGCAAGTATATTCAGTTAAGACTCCTGTTAATATTCTGTATTTTCTTTCAGACATTTCCAGGCATATTGGTAATGCAGAGTCTTTTTATAAGTGTCTTTTCCTGTTGCTGTGATAAAATAACTGACAAAAGAAAATTAAGGAAGCAGAGGCTTATGTTGTCTCTCAGGTTGAGGGAACACAGTCCACCATGTCAGGCAAGTCCAGTGACAGGAGCATGAGGCAGTGGATCACACCGCAGTTTGCACCAGGAAGCACAGCCCACTTTTTCCTTTGTATTCAGTCTGGGACCCCAGCCCATGGAATGATGTCACTCACAGTTAAGGCAAATCTTCCTACCTCACTAAAGCCAACCTGGAAACTCCCTCACAGACCTGCCAACGGTATGTTTCCTGGGTGAATCTGGATCCCGTCAAACTGAAAAGAAATGTCAACCATCAAAGAAAGCTTATAATGGTTTAGCATTTCTGACTTTCCCCCTCATGTATATCATTGGTTTTACTAATATTTCATTTCCTCCTTCCCCTCCTTCTCCCCCTCTCCTTCCTTCTCCCCAACCCCCTTTCTTTCAGCTTCCAACTGGCCATCTTTCCGTTTCTACCTCTCGAGTGCTGAGCTCAGACGCACCTGTCACCACACCTAGTCTAATTAATATTGGGTACATATTGCTGTGCTAACCTTTAGAAACACTTCTCAAGGCATTCATCACAAGGTTCATTTTCCATCTTCCTAACTGGAGGGGTGTGGTGGGGCATGGAGTTCTTTCCTCAGTCACCCGTAGGGCTGAGAGTCCCCATTTTTCTCAGGAGTTGACTCTGATGCACTAAACTCTGTCTGTCTCGGGCTATTTTCACTGCTGTCCAAAACAGCCTAATATTTTCTGGTTGACCATTGGCACTTCAGAGACTAATGAACAGTATTCCGTTGTTTTCATCCTAAAGGAGGGAGGGGGGCGGGAGAGAAAGATGGGGGTGTTAAATAGATGATGGGCAGACAGGTAACATGATTTGGTCTGGATCCAAGCCCTTTCTGTGTGTAAGGTTATAGCGCTTACGTAGGTGGAAGGGCCTTGTGCTAACACTTTCTGTGGCTTGTCGTGCCCCTTTTAGCATCTGGGGATCAGTTCAGTGACATAAAGGATTGCTGATGACGCCCTAGCTTCTTTTTAATTGACTTCTCATTGGCACGCACATAATTAAGTTTCACTGTGTCATTTTTTTCAAGCGAGATCTGTCTTGCCTCTGTAGTTCCCTCTGTGTTCTTCTTCCTCTTACAAGCCTCCTTTAACCTGTTGTGTTCCCGTGTCCCTTTAACACCCGGCTCCCCTTCTCAACACCTCTTGTTCCCCTCTCCTATCCAATTTCAGAGTCTACACTCACCCGCAAGCCCCCTTCCTTAAGTACATACCAACAATGACACTAGGTGCTTCTGGTTTCCTGACTGATGGAACCAGTCTCAGCGCACAGGAGTGCATGTGCTTGGGTCAGTCTTGGATTCTGGTGTGCATGTGAGCTGCTCACCCCGTGCTGCTTCACAATCGGCAGAACCACCTCCCACTGTAGTTTTCAGGGCCGCACCCAGAGGAAAGTGACTTAAGCCTCAGAGCTTGTGTGGGAGGCGGCATGGGTGGGGACGATGTGCTGCCGAGATGCCTCACCTCACCTTTGCTGAATGACACTCAGGAGTGGTAAACATGAGGGTGACTGTTAAAGAAATGAGGCGGTGGCTGCACAGGAAGTGGGTGGCTGACATTTAGGGAGATGATGGAGTGCAGTGTGTAAGCGGGAGCTTTCTCTGGGCGGAAGTCAGCACTGATTATTTTGCTGATCTCCACTGGCTCCTGTGTGTTGCTGTGTGAGCTTTGTGTGCAAGGAAATCTTTCGCTCAGTTCCCATAGGCGTTATAGGGCTGAGGATGGCAGGCAGTTTAAAAACTGGGAAGAGGACACTCGTGGACTTAAGCTAAAAGTCTCTGGAGAGAATTGTGACCAGCAGAAGCTTCCAACAGCAGAGGTGGAAGAGGGGCAGGTCCTAAGACATGCCGATGACAGGCAGTGATGGATCTGAAGATTCTGTTTGTCTCTAGCCATTTTGGAAATCTAATAAACATGGAATAAACTGGTGTTTGTATGAAGAGACAAGCATAATAAGGTCTGTGATGGAAAAATCATACAAAATTAATTCACACTGGGTTTTACCTGTACATGTCTGTCATAAACAAGGCAAAGGAATCAATGGAGATGTTAATTTAATTTGCATGGTCTAGAAATTTGAGGTCTTAAACTCAATGTTGATTTTTGGGTACAAAATAAAGTCTACCCTATCTACCCTTGATCAAATCGTGGTGGTCCCATAACTTGGTTCTGTGCATAGTTTTGATACACAGTCCACAATAAAATTATAAGGAAACAGAGATTGTTTCCAAAAAAGACAACTTAAATGATCATAAAGATGAATGGCTGGATGTTTGTAAGCTGTCTGGTCTACTGTATAGAGAGGTGCTCAGAAATTAGGATTTTATTAGTGTTTTCTTGACTTTATTTTTAAAAGCTAAGCCCAGAAACAATGCTTGTCAATCTGAAGGGAAAAAATTGGTATCTGCATCTTATTTCTTTGAAATTAAAAGCATTTATGAGTGTGTGTCTGTGTCTTTGTATGTCTGTGTGTATGTGTGTGTCTGTGTGGTTGTATGTATGTGTGTGTGCATGTGTATGTATGTATGTGTGTCTGTGTATCTGTATCTGTGTGTGTGCATGTATGTGTGTCTGTGTGTGTATATGTATGTGCGTGTATCTGTGTGTCTGTGTCTCTGGGTGTATATGTATGTGTGTGTATCTGTGTGTCTGTGTATGTATATGTATGTGTGTCTCTGTGTGTATGTGCACCGAATGTATGCAGGTATCATCTGAAAATAGAGGAGGACGCAGATTCTTTTGAGCTGGAGTGACATATCGTTGTGACCCACCTGATGCCGGGGCTGGGACTTGAACTCAGGTCCTCTGGAAAAGCAGCGAGCACTCTTAATAGCTATGCCATGTCTCTAGCTCATGTTTTGTGTTTCTAAGTGTAAGTGAATTGATGGCATTTTCCATAGGGTTTAGGGCTGTCACCTACTTAAAAAAAACCTGTTTCTTTCTTCTCGTCCTGTCTCCATTGGAGTCTGATTGGGCAAATTGTGTTTTCATGGGAAGTTATTGAGTTTATCGTGTTTATTTCAAATTAATCACGAGACTTCCACAATAGTTGATTTAATGGTTTATTCCACCTTATTTTGTAGATTTCCTGTGTACACATAATGAAACACCTCAATAGATTTTGACCTTGTTCTTAATGTTTGGTAGCATTATTTCATACCTGAAACAATATGGTCAAATTGAATTTATACCATAAATTAAAAAAAAAATTCTGGATTCTAAAACAAAAATGAGCAGCAGCAACAACAAAAACAAAACCCCACAGCATTTCAATTCATGGAAACCAAACCCTTTCTCTACAGCTTAAAGCAAGCCGACTGAATAATGCAAATGTTAGTAACAAACACCAGGTTGAAAGACAATGAATGTGAATTGCTCACGTGATGTAGCACATGGATTGTCATGTCTCCAGAGAAGAGGTGACTGGACAGTGGTTGCTAGGGAGGTACCAGGAGGCCATTCTTTCAAAGGTCTGTGTTGATGTGTCATTGTTTAATTTTAAGGAAGTCATGATTATTTGCATTCAACCTACACTTAAAAGCAGCATTTGTAATAATTTGAAAAGACCTTCAATGGGTGCCTTGGTGCTCTGAGAAATGTGGGTGCCTTCCCCATGCACCATCAACTACCGAGACAGGTCTCTTGGACCCACAGAGCAGAGAATTCTTGAACTGCCCAAGCATGAGCTAAAAGTCAGACTTGCTTTTCACTTGAAATTTCCTGACTAGACATATATTGAATAAATTCATGGTTGGCTTTTCCAGAAACTGACATATTGAAATATCACTTTCTTTTTACAAAGTGAATCCACTTAAAGGGTGTGGGGTAAGAATGTGTTAAGAGTCTTATACCAATGAGAGGCCCAAACTTTTCCAAAGGACTCGAAGTAGTAAACTTGCTGAAATGAAGTCACATGCACCGAACCTGGGTCCTATATCTCAGGATTACTGTTACTGTTTTTTAAATGTGTCTGCATGGTTGTTGTGCATCATGTGCCTGTAGAGCCTGTAAGAGGTCAGCAGAGGGCACTAGGCCTCCAGTAAATGGAGTTCCAGAGGCTTGTGAGCTACCTACAGGTGCTGGGAATGGAATTCGGACCCTTCCGAAGATCAGTCAGTTGCTTTTAACAGCTCTCCACCACTGGATGCTTCTATTTTAATGGATAAGAAAAACCAAATGGATCTGGTCCAATCAGTTTGTCTTGCTCTTATTCCTGATTCTCCAACCAGTTGCACTCTTAGGCTCGTTAGCGTATCCTCTGTTCAACTTGCTCTATGGATTTTCCCCATGGTTCTTGGAGAAAATGAAGATTTTTTTTTAGTTTTGTTGAAAGACCCTTGGTAATCTGGTTCTCACAAATCCTTCCAATCTTTTATGTTCACTGTTCTGAAAGAGGAACCTCAGTTGAGAAAGTGCCTCCATCAGAGTGGCCTGTAGGCATGTCTCTAGGGCATTTTCTTGGTTCCTGGTTGATGGGGAAGGACCCAGCTTACTGTGTGGTGCCAGCCTGAGTGGATGGGCGGAGCTAGTATGAGAAAGCAGGCTGAGCCAGCCTTGGAAAGCAAGCCAGCAAACTGCGGTTCATAAAGGTTCTGCTTCATTTCCTGCCCCCAGGATCCTGCCTTGGTTTACCCAGATGGAGCCCAAATAGACCCTTTCCTCTTCGAGTTGTTTTTATCCAAGATGTTTATTACAGCAACAGAAAGCTAACTGTGATATCACCCTAACCCTGTAGTGCTGTTTTTTAGTTAGGCTGAAGTATACTCTCACTTTGTAGAATTTGGCATTCTCTCTCACCTGCCATTCTTTGTGAGGTCAAAGTTCCTCCTATAGACCCTGTTTTTAATGTTTCGTTCCACACCTGTTTTCTGCGGAGTCTGAGGGCCTGTGTAACTTCTTGGGAAGGACTTTTCTAGCTCCTACATTGGGCCAACTGTCAGATTCCATAACATGTGCAAAGATTAAATATTAACTGAAAGTAAGAGCTGGGTTTGTAACCCCATCCTTCATGGGTCTGCTGCCCATATCACTGGTTGGATTGTTATGCTTTTGCATTTCTATTACAAAAAAATTCTTCTTAAAAATTTCCCTGGGATGATGATGAACACCCAGAACAAGCTCCTGGTCAAGGTCCTGGACTGCAGTGTAAACAGTGTTAACTGTGTGTGCTGCCTTCTTGGGAAAAGGGCACTGAGAGGTTTTTTAAAGGATTGTACTTGAGCCGGAGAACAATTTAGTCAAAAAGAGCATCCCTCAAAAGCATGAAGACCCAAGTTCAGTGCCACAGTGTGACCCACAAGACAGTGCTGTGCGGGATTGGGGGTGGGGTGAGGGGCACACATTCAGACATGTATACACACACACACACACACACACACACACACACACGCACACATCCCTCCTCAAATCTAGTTTAATATGTTTCCTGTATCGGATGCATTTTGAATGAATAGAAAATAGTTATGGAGCAAGTGGGAGACCAGGGAGCGTGTTTTCAGCGTCTTTTGAATATGCGGATTAAATGGGTTTTTCAATTTTTTGTAGGCGTACAGGAGTGGGGGCCAACTAGGGAAAGGCAGAGAGTTGGGCAGGAGCAAGGCCAAGAGCAAAGGGCTAGGGCATGCACGTATGGCATCTCCTTGACGGAACTTGTCACTTTTTATACTAACCTAAGGAATTTAATTGAGAAAGCATTGTTATCTATGACTTTATATTAATGATTTAATTATGTGTTTAGTCTTGGTGACTTAAAAATAATAACCTTGCAATTTGATCAGTCTGTGGCAACTGGGGAAAAATGTTTACAAAAGTTGTAAATGCGATGTGAAACCAAAAGATGATTTAAGAGCTTTCACACTATCAGCCTAACCCTGTTAAATTAAGGAGGGAAAATAGTTTTAAAAAGGCAAAAGAGCCCCACCTGGTGGTAAACAGGAGAACTGCCCAGACTCCCTCCCCACCCCCCCCATCTGCAGCAAAGCGTTTGATAATGGTCTCCGAATCATAAGGACTTAGTTCATTTTAGGAATTATCTTTTTTTTTTTTCTTTTAAGGATCTTGTTTTGAATGTTGGGAAGTTCTAGAAACTTCTCTGCTACATCTTCCGTTCACACTGTCCGTGGTGGGGAAATCACACCTGACAGTAGGGTCCTCCACTTGCGGGTGCTGAAATCCTGATATCCTTTGGTACCTGGCTAGGTCACGCCCTCCCCAGGCTGCTGTCCCCAGGACGTAGCACCGGAGGGCAGAGACAGACCGCACCCTAGGGGTGCAGGTGGACACTGTCTGCCCACTCAGGACAGCTGTCCTGGGCCTTCAACTCCTTCTCATGCAGACATTTCCCTTCACAGAATCCTTGTACGTTCAACTCGGCTTTGGTACCTGTTTTTTTCCCAAAGACCCCAGAGTAACGCGAGATCCCTTC